GGACTTCACTTTTCAAAAAGTTTCACCAACAACCATTTGCTATAGGAACTTATCACCAGATACTGGAACAACCAGAACAAATCAAGTCTCATGATTATTATTATTTTTTTTTGTAGGAATGAGAAGGACTTGTATTCATCTAGAGTATTTTGATGTTAGTAGATGAAAATTATTTTTTTTCCACTAAACTTTTCCCCTTTTCGTGCAGAAGCAGCAGATAATTGTGATATGTCATATTCATATCTTTCTGTGTCTCTGGTTATATGGTAGGTTAACAATGCTTGCAATTTTTATTTTCCTCATTGACTGTTTTTTCCTGAATTTAAATAATTCTCCAAACTTTTTATTTATTTGAAAAAGCTTTGTTGCAGAGATTGAGAGAGACAAGCTAGAAGAGGTATCTTTCAGCTGTTGGCTCACTCCACTAATAGCTGCCTTGGCCAGGCAGAAGCCAAGAGCTGGAAACTCATCCATGACTCTCTTGTATTGTCCAGGTGCATTAACAGGCAGCTGGATTCGAATAGAATAGCTGGGAGTCAGCACATTGCATGTATGAAGTGCTGGTGTCACCGGCAATGGTTTAACCTATACCATGCTGCCAATGCCAATTTGGCCCTTTCAGACCTAGCTATAAGGAAAACCAAAGTGCATACCAAAAGGATATTTTTAGAATGTTTATGAATCAGTGCAAGCTGATTACCCTTCATATGTTCGCTGTGAGGGTAGATCAGGAATTTTTTTTTCTTTTTAAGATTTATTTCTTTTATTAGAAAGGCAAATATATAGAGAGGAGGAGAGACAGAGAGATCTTCCATCCACTGACTCACTCCCCAAGCACCTGCAACAGCTGGAGTTGAGCTGATCCAAAGCCAGGAGTCAGGAGCTTCTTCCAGGTCTCCTGCGCAGATGCAGTGTTCCAAGGCTTTGGGCCAGTGCCTGTTGCTTTCCCAGGCCACAAGCAGGGAGCTGGATGGGAAGCAGGGCCACTGGGACATGAACCAGCGTCCATATGGGATCCTGGTGCATAAAAGGCAAGGACCTTAGCCACTAAGCTGCTGTGCCGGGTCCAAATTAGGCATTTTGTAAACTCTAAAAGTCATCTCTTACAACAGTCATTCGCTTTGTGTTACTCTTTTTCTGTTGAAATGAGACATGAGTCCTTGATTCTTGATGTTTGAAGATCTCTCACTCCAAACCAAGAACCGTGCCCCCCCCAAAAAAATACCCCAACAGAAGAGGTCAGAATTGTCTCCCCAAAACAGACTGTCATTCAGATTATACTCTGTTCATCAAAATTGGCCATAGTGTGTATAAGACAGTTTTGTCTTCAAAGAATTGTTAATATGCTTAAGAATACTTACAAAGTGTTAGCCACATTAATCTTCTTAACACACCACTGTAGACAGAGAGAGACAACTTAGGAAACGCCTCCCCGTTCTGCAGTCTTTACAAAATTAAATTATAGGGCTGTGTGTGGTGGCCTAGCGGCTAAAGTCCTTGCCTTGAACGTGCCGGGATCCCATATGGTTGCTAGTTCTGATCCCGGTGGCCTCACTTCCCGTCTGGCTCTCTGCTTGTGGCCTGGGAGAACAGTTGAGAATGGCCCAGGGCCTTGGAACCCTGTACCCGTGTGGGAGACCCGGAGGAGCTCCTGGCTCCTGGATTCAGATTGGTGCAGCACCAGCCATTGCAGTCGCTTGGGGGGTGAATCATCGAGTGGAATTTCTTTCTCTCTGTCTCTCCTCCTCTCTGTATGTCTGACTTTGTAATAAAAATAAATAAATACTAAAAAGATTAAATTATAAAAGGCATCATTGTTCATGAGGTTTAAAATCAGTTGCCAGGAAAGAATATGAGAAATCTTATTATTTTCCTGTTTCACTGTACTTAATAAAATAAATCATTTAGCCACCTTATTTTGACCTTCTGCTCCAACAGAACCATTCTAATGAACTTGGACCCTAGGGTCCATGTGTGTGGTTATTCATTAAATCCTTATCTGCTATTAACTCTCTTGACTCAAGGCTTTTACTAGGCTTGAACTCAGTAACCCAGTCCAGCTTCACCTCTTAGCTTATTTCCAATTGGGCGGCTTAAGCTCTGCCTTAACTTTATAATGCTGATTGATCATGCTGCTAGCCCTCCACTTAGGGCATCGGGCTTCACAATAGCTTCAGCTTTTCATGTTGAAGCATAAATAAAATGATATTTAATTTGTTAACTGATTTTGCCCTCTAGGAACACCTAGGTATGTTTGACCTGATGGGTTACTACTGTCTGACAGTCCTTCATAGCTGTCTAAAAAACTCAAGTTAGAGACCAATTGGGAGCAATTAATGATTTAACAGTTGTGCAAATGCTTCTGTGCATTAGCAGGAGCATGAAAAATGTTCCTGGTGAGAAGCCGGTCAGATCCCCAGACGAGGAGGGTGCTCTGGCCCAGCAGCTGAGATGTTGCTTGGGACTCCTGTTTTGAGTTGCCTGGGAAACCCCATTTTTTATCCCAGCTTCTTGCTAATGCTCAGCAGGCAGTAGGTGTAGTTGAGACCTAGATTGAGTTCCCAGCATCCAGCTTTAGCCTGACTTGACCCTGGCTGTTTACACACATCTGGGAACTGAACCAGCAGATGAGTGCTTTCTCTGCCTCTTAAGTGGTTAACGTAAGTGTTAAAGCTTTTGAAAACTCTTGCTGGTGATAACAGCTAATGCTGCTGTGTGCTGTGTGCCAGGCGCCCTTGGAAAGGCTTCGTGTGTGTTCGTCCCATGAGTCACATCAGCCCTGCTCTCACCCTCACCTGATAGAAGAGGATATGGGGAGAGAGATGAAATCATTCATCAAGGTCACAGAGTCAGGAGAAAGATGTGGAGCCCAAGCCCAACTCCAAAGCCAGAAACCCAACCAACACACTCAGCTGCTGTCGTCAGATTCATGGCTGGGGGGGCACACAATTCCCTCATGCCACCTGCTGAGGCTGGCATGCCCCCCCCTACTCTCTGGTTGGCCTCAGCCGGGACCCGCTCCCTGCTCCTTTTGCCCCTGTCCCCAGCTCAGAATGAAGTCTGGCAGTGACTCACAGCGCTGCACGGGCAGGACTGCAGTTCACTTCGGGCTGTCTCCTCAAACAGCCTGTCACAGCCTGTTGCAGCCATGCTAAGCTCGGCAACAACCTTCAGCTGTGCCTTTAAAAAAAATAAAAATGTATTTATTTTTATTGGAAAGTCAGATGCACAGAGAAGAGGGAAGAGAGAAGAAGATCTTCTGTTCACTGATTCACTTCCCAAGTGGCTGCAATGGTCAGATCTGAGCTGATTGGAAGCCAGGAGCCAAGAGCCTCCTCTGGGTCTCCCACATGATTGCAGAGTCCCAAGGCCCTGGGCTGTTCTCTACTGCTTTCCCAGGCCACAAACAGGGAGCTGGATGGGAAACGGGGCAATTGAAATTAGACCAGCATCCATATGAGATCCCAGCACATGCAAGGCGAGTACTTTAGCCACTAGGCTATTGTGCTAGGCTCCCCCCGTTTTAAAAATACATTTATTTTGATTGGAAAGGCAGATCAAATTTATGAAGAAAAGGAGAGATAAAGAGAAAGATCTTTCATCCACTGATTTACTCCCCAATCAACTGCAACAGCTGGAGCTGAGCCTCTCCCAAGCCAGGAGCCAGGAGCTTCTTCCAGGTCTTCCACGCTGGTGTAGGCTCCCAAGGCTTTGGGTTGTCCTTGACTGCTTTCCCAGACCACAAGTAGGGAGCTGGATGGGAAGCAGAGCAGCTGGGACTGGGATCCTGGTGCTTGCAAGGTGAGGATTTAGCCATTGAGCCATTGTGCCCCGTAGCTCTCGACTGTGCCTTTTTGCAGGGCCTTACATGGGCTCCCCTAGGCAGTGCCACCTCAGCGTTTGGATCTGTTTGCTGTCCAGCCTGACTTGGAGGGCACTTCATTCAGTTCCTTCTGTGTTGCCACGCCAGAATTCACAGACTGCCTGATTGTAACACAGACATTATTTTCTCACTGATCTGGAGGCTGTGCAGTTCAAACTAAGGGTGCCGGACATGCTCGGTTGTCTACTGAGGGCCGCCTCAGCCAAAGGAGAGGAACACTGTGTCCTCCCGTGGTGCAGAGGTAGTCCAGAGGAGTGGGTCTCTTCATCAAGCCCGCAAGGGCGCTGAATCTCCAGAGAGGCCCTCATGGCCTCACCCCCTCAGAGGCCCCACTCTGAGCACTGCCACATTAGCCACGCCTGCCTAGGGCTTTGTGGGGTAGCCATCTCCTGTGGTTTCTGGGGCACACCTGCTGGCTGTCAGGACTCCTCCTCCTTCAGGTGGTGGATGCAGCTGGGAACCACGGAGACTGTGTTCACACTAGTCTTCCCATCACAGTCTGTGGAAACAGGAAGCATTTAATAAAGGAAGAATGAATGGAGATCTGCTCTCCCCAATACCAGGGCCAGCGTGCGTTGGCTGCAGAGGAGCTGCAGAGGTGGCCACTGCAGTCCTGCTGAGGGCACCCAGCACTCAGCGTCAGCTGCACGCCTCATGCTCTGGGCTCGCCTGGCTCAGGTCTTCACACTGGGCTGTGCCTGCATTGGTTGTTGTCTTGGGGGAAAGGCCATCTTCACCCTTTCTCTTGCGGTTCTGGAGCCACCCCGAGGACAGGCCCTCACACCCGGACTGACTGCTTTCAGGGTCAGGGGTGGATGTTTATGGATGGTGGTAAGCACAGTGTTGAGGGCCAACCTTCCCAGGAGGTCATGGGGCCCTTTCACACTGGCCCTCAGAACTGTAATGTAAGTACCCGGTGCGACTTGCAGGCAAACGGGCTCCCTGAGGCCACCTGTCTCAGGGGATCCTGGAAGCTGGTCCTAAGCTGTGGCATACTCATGTTCTCACTTACTCTCCATTTTTTCAGGCACGCGTCCTCCATAGAGAACAGGCTGGAGCTGTGTTGCGAGCAGTGGTGGTTTCGATCTGTGCTGATTGTAATTTTTATCCATCGTAGGTTTGAAGACATACCTGATATCGGGTCAGAGAGCCAAGGAGCCCCAGTGCAGCTGCGCAGAGCCCTTGCTTTCTGGCTTTGAGGCCCTTGACGACTCACAGGTGTCCTCAGGCCCTAGGGGGCAGGGAGCAGCATCGGCAGGGAGTGCCAGTGACTTGGCGCAGACTGTCAAAACCTTTGATAACCTTAAGGTTAGTTTTTTTTTTTTCTACTTCTCAAACTTGATTAATTCTGCAGTAGAACATGTACAATAATAACCTTCAAGTCTCTAGCAAACCACTTAAATGTCCTTCAGTTTGCTTTTTGCAGTTTTTAAATTTAGTGTAAAGTTAGCAGTTTGTATTGTAATAACCTTGCTTTTTCACATACTAATGTCTCCATTCCTGTCTTCATTGTCACCAGAGTTACTAGTTTTGTCCTTTTCTGTATTTTGGGGTTTCTAAAAGCTAGACAACAGTGAAGAGGATTCTCCGTGAACCTTATTTAAGAGATGGTTTATATTTTATTTCAGAAACTACATGTTTTTGAATACTTAATCCTGTGCTTAAAATCTGTATCATATGATAATTCAAAATTTTGTCGGTGTGGATGAATTTTGCAATGTAACTCACTGAACCATTACAGGTTGCTGGGAACATGCTGGCTTTTCATTATGGGTGCTGGGATCTCTGGTTTTGAGCTATAAGTGCCCATTTCTGTACTGTTTCTTTCTCAAAACACAAACTACCAAGGAATTAATATGCTTGGCTCTGGGCATAAGAATTCATCCTAGTTTATAAGTTATTCCTTGGTTTTCATATTTGATTTACCCCCAACCCACTGAAGGGACCCTGTGCTTATTTTACAGTTTGCTGTTTCTTTATTATTATTATTATTAAGATTAAAAACAAAATTTATTGGAAAGGCAGATTTACAAAGAAGTAGAGACAGAGAGGAAGATCTTCTGACTGCAGATCCACTCCCCAAGTGGCCACAATGGCCACAGCTGAGCCAATCTGAAGCCAGGAGCCAGGAGCTTCCTCTGGGTCTCCCATGTGAGTGCAGGGTCCCAAGGCATTGGGCCGTCCTCCACTGCTCTCCCAAGCCACAAGCAGGGAGCTGGATGGGAAATGGAGCAGCTGGGACCCAAGAGGATGCCTATATTGGATCCCAGCAGATGCAAAGCAGGGATTTAGCCATTAGGCTGTTGTGCAGGGCCCACTCTTGCCATTTTTAAAGAGAGACTGGCAGTTACAACAATAACTTGCTTGTTCTGCGTTCTCAGACAGTGCTCGCTTCAGCAGCACATATACTGTGTTCTCAGATAAACAAATGATACATTAGGGGCTGAAACCCGTTTTTGTGGCTTCTATTCAGTATGTTCACCTATCCACACTCATTAACCTTTTGGAAAGCTGGCTGTTGGTGTTTAAGCTCCATTGTCTTTGATGTGGCAGTCCATCAGGATTCAACTTCTCTGAGCGTGTTGAAGAGCAGGGTTCCTATCATCCAGTTCCTCCTGGTGTGTGCTCAGGCTCACTGGCAGCACTCAGGCATCTTCATGGTGTGCTTGGCTGCTCTAACACAGGGTTTCTCAGAGTTGGCTCTGCTGATATTTTGGTCCAGATAGCCTGGGCTATGGGTGGCATTGCCTGAGACCCTCTCTTTCCAGCACATGCATCCTGGTCACTGTATCTGAGCTCTCTCCAGTGCCTGCAAACTACAGAGGTGGCCTCCTCACTGGGCTGTTGGTCTGCAACAATCATAAAGAGGAGCTCACAGCTCACAGGCTGTTACTGAGCATGGGCAGGAAGAAATTGGCGTGGGTGAGGAATAAAAACATGACTTTCCAAATATGGTTCATTTCTTGGGGAGAAATTGTTTCCTCCAGGCTTCTGATGGAGCTGCACTTAAGAAATGGAGCTCAGAGCCCCAAATATGTGGTTTGTTGTACATATTGTGCATCCCTGCATTCCCAGTCATTATGGAATACATTTGTTAGGTTTGCCCTGTCACATAACCATACTGCCAGCGACAGCAGTTCTGTGCCAAGTTGTCTGAAAGATAAGGTTTTCTCTTGGGCCTGGCGCAGTAGCCTGTTGGCTAAAGTCCTTACTTTACACCCACCAGGACTGCATATGGGTCCCGGTTTTTGTCCTAGCAGCCCCTCTTCCCTTCCAGCTCTCTGCTTGTGGCCTGGGAAAGCATTAGAGGACGGCCCAAAACCTTGGGACCCTGCATCTGCTTGGAATACCCGGAAGAGGCACCTTGCTCCTGTTTTTGGATCAGCTCAGCTCTGGCCATTGCAGCCACTTGGGAAGTGAATCAGTGGATGGAAAATCATCTTCTCTGTCTCTCCTCCTCTCTGTATATCTGACTTTCCACTAAAAATAAAAACATCTTTAAAAAAATAAGGTTTTCTCTCACTCTGAAAGAACATTCCTTGTTCCAATCACATGTGTTTGTTTTGATCTGGATGGACAAAAGCTACCATGTGTCTTTAAAAAGTTCATGGAAATGGGTATTATGAAAAAAGTACTCAAAGATTTCAGACATTTTTTCATCAAAATAACATTACCTTTTAATTTCATTTTATGATCTTTTTGAAGAGTCCTTCACATTTACTGTATTCTGTTGCTGTGCATATAGATTTTCTAAATAATCATTGAATATTTTCAGAAAATCTAATAATGACAATGGACTATGTTTACCAAAAGGACTTTAAGTTAAAAAAAAATCCCAACCCATACAGACCCTTCTCCTCCCCCTCTCCCTCCCCCTCAAAAAAGACCACAATTTTGTGTTCCCTCCAGGAGAAAAAGATGAGTTGGATCACAAAGTATAGCTTCTGGTATATTTTCATGGCTCGGGCAGAATAATAGAATATCTGAGATAAAGGCGGTCTTTGAACATTAGAATGATTTGGATTCCACAAATGGGCAGAAAGAACATCAAGATGAAAGACATGGTTCCCCCTGCAGGCATTGTACCTTGGGGGTGCCCTTCTCATTATCCTGCCTTCTCTGGGATCAGAGTCTGAAATACAAGTACTGGGTGATCGGAAGAGACTCGTAGGAACCCTGATGTTAGATTTTCATAGGAGAAAACTGAGTTCTGCTTTAAAAATTGAATAGTTTATCATCTGACCCATGAGGCCTTCTCCCAAGTCAGAGTTTTCAAACAGTGAATGTTTGTTCTGCCAGTCACTTGCTTACTCCTTGTTCGGCTGGTTTATTCTGCAGTTGTCAGTGCCTGGTGTGTATGTTGTTGCTCAGTGGTATTTTCTGCCCTAGGCCAGCTTTTCCTGTTTCTGATATTCTAACTGGTCCCCATTAAACCCTCACCAGGGCTTGTTGGCTCTTTTTGCCAACGGGCTCCTTTCCCTTGTCACTGCTGCCACCTTGTTGGGTAGAGGTGACTGGTTTCTGTCATTCCCACCTCCCATGCCTTGCCAAGTCCTTGAATCTGGCAGTATACCCTGGAGTACATTTCCCTGAGGCAAAGTTTTTCAGGGTAGAAATGGTTGTCAAGTGCAGAGAGTCCTCTGTAGTCAAGTGGATGGAACATTCTGGATTAGACATTCTGGGACCCATCAATACCTGGAGTATCCAGGTAGACATTGCAAGGCCTCTGTGGGGTGCTGGGTGTGAGCCTGGCCAGGCCTCCTTGAGCGCAGATTCTCGCTTCCAAGGTATACCTGGGAGGGCAAGGGCTGCGGTAACACCTTCCGGGGCAGTCCTCGGATAATGAAAAGACTTGTGCTAAGGAAGAGCAAAGTTGTTAAATGAAGACATTTCCTGTCCTGTTGGTGTTGATTCTTTTGTCTGTGCTGCTCGTGCTTCCATTTCTCCCTCAATCCCTCTCTGCATTATGCTCTTCAGCTTCCCTGCCGATCTCCATTCCTGCTCTAACTACAGGCACTGTCTTCCCATCTTCTGAAGTCTGTGCTCCTGGCCTGTCACCTACACAGCATGAGGCCTCAGTTCCCAGGTGCCTTCCTGTGAGTTCTTTGAATGCAGAGGCTGTGTATTAAATAACACCTATTTCCCAAGTGTCCAGTACCATACCTAGAACGTGGGAGATCATTAGAACTTTGTTTTGGCTTCAGTGTTTAATCCTTTGATTACATACAGGCAGGTGCCACTCTCCAGAAGCACACAAGGAGGAATGGAACTCAGAAGCCTGGGCAAGGACTCTTAAGAACCAAGACAGTGTCCAAGAAGGCCTGACTATCTGCCCCAACCATGTGTTCTCTATGGCTTTAAGTTACCACCCAGTTCAGAGCCAGGAAATCCCCATGTAATCCAGCACAGCCTAGTTGGGGAACTGTAGCAGCCTCCCAGGAAGTAACAGTGCTGTCAACGACCCTGCGTTTCAACCTGAAGTCCTCAGTCAAAGTGAATCTGCCCGCACTTTAGTCTTGTTTCCAAAGACCAACAGTGAGTGTTTGTGGTCAGCAGGCCCTTGTATTGGTTTGGGGATTGGGGATGGGCAAGGAGGGATCTAGAAGGGAACCTGGCACAGGCAGTTAAGGACAAGGGTGCCCCATGTCAACATCAAGGGAGGCAGTATGAATGGAAAAACTGCATGTTAATATTGAAACTCCTGACAGACATTTAGCACAGCATGTTGAGCGGCCACTAGAGATACTTGCATCCCATATCAGATTGTTGGTTCAAGTTCTGGCTTCTCTGTGGTCCCAGTGCAGCTTCCGCTAATGTGCCTGTGAGTACCTGGGTTCCTGCCCATCCGCATGGAGTTCAGGCCCTCGCGTTGCATTAGCCTGTCCTTGGCTATTGTGGGCATTTGGGGAATGAACCAATGAATGCAAGATCTCTCTCTCTCTCTCTCTCTCTCTCTCTCTCTCACTCTCTCTCACTCTCTCTCACTCTCTCTCACTCTCTTTTCTTTCTCTCCCTGTCCTTCTCTGTCTTTTCCTCTCACCATCCAGGGCAGGAGTGGGGAGGGCAGGATACAGCTGTCATCTTGTTTTGCTGGCAAGAAGTAATGGACTGTCTTGGAAAGTTCTCACCCTTCATTGGGATTAGAGGAGATTCTTACAATTATTGCAGTTGGATGCTGTCTGCTATAGCCACATCACAAATATGGCGCAGGCAAGTAGGCTTCTTGGCCTGGTTAATGGGATGTCCAAAGCTCTACAGTAGGCTGTCTGCTTCCCATTTTGTTTTTCTTTGTTTTAAAGATTGATTTA